CACACACACACACACACACACACACACACACACACACACACACACACACACACAAACAAGCCAACCCAGACAAAAAGAGAGAGAGAGAGAGAGAGAGAGAGAGAGAGAGAGAGAGAGAGAGAGAGAGAGAGAGAGAGAGAGAGAGAGAGAGAGGTATTGTGAAAGCAATCACGTTTCCTGACATGATTCAGAATTATGGAGAGTTAACGCAAATACGAGTCTTTTTAAAGCTGCAGGGAGATATCAAGTTTACTTAGGAATGATGACGAATCGCCACGCACGAGGGAAGCATCATGCAGCAGGTCAGATCGATATCCACTATTATCAAGAGAAGAATAATCTCTAGAAGAAGGGAACAAACAATGTCATCGCCTTGATTGTTGGAGGTAGCTACTACAGTCTTCCCCCGAATACAACGCACGGTCATTATAGCTGAATTTGGTCTATCTTTCAGTCTAAATTCAGCTATAATGACCGTGCGTTGTATTCGGGGGAAGACTGTAGCTATGCTTGCAGGGGGTGGCTTAGGAGTAGTAGTAGGTACTAGGTGGACATTGAAAGGTGAAATTGAAACAAGAATGACATTGTAGCTTAGCTAATTAAGGGGGCAAAAAAAAGATAAAAGATAATTTTGTAAAGGTAAAAGAGACTGTGCTACGTAGTCAGACTGCTTGGAAGGTGCTGACGACAGCAACGGCCCGGGGCAAGGTCCCACTTGCACGGATTAAGAGATTGTGGCCGTTGATCTTTGCAATCTACGGTCAATATCGCTTAATTCGTGTAAGTGGGACCTAGCCCCCGAGCGCAGTTGGTACAGTCATCATGGACTGTCGAAAGACAGACCTCAATCAGGTGGGGCCCGTCAGCTCAGAGATGATATCTCAAGCCCGCTGGCAAGCACACGGGACCCCACAACAGCGCCCCACCCCCTTCTCGTTCAATGAAACCCAGGCCTCGCTGTCGCTCGCTCGATCATCAAAGCGAAGTGACATAGGGCCTGGCCGCACCACTGTCGAAACGACAAAGGAACGCATGCATCTTCCTCAGAAAGAGGTAAGATGCATCCTTTGGTATTTATAGTAATGGATGCATTTTGCCACTCTTTGCGTGAAGATGCACTGGTTCTTTTTTTCGTTTCGACAGTGGTGGTGTGGCAAGGCCCAGAGGAGGAGTACAAGAGAGGGGGGGAGGGGGGGGGGGGGGGGGGGG